AAGGATGACACAGGTATTCAGTGTTTGACAACGCTTCTACCAGTAACACCTTCTAATATAATTCGTTCCCACCCAGAGAAATCAAAAGACAGAGTCGAGGAGATCGGAAGAGTGTATTTGGAGATAACCAAAATATCGTAATTCTCTGATCTAATGTGGCTAGCGATTGCGGTTGATGTGGTGCACGGCGTTACCACACGTGATCTGGTGCGGATGCCTGACCGAGCGCCTTCAGCTAGATGAGTCCACTAAAACATATGGTCAGCATCCAATGTCGAAAACTTACAGGGCTATTTATTTTGGGGATTTATGTACCGCCACAATAAATTTCTATGTGTTATACATGTGGTGGAGATGAAATGAATCTGAGTTGATTTATTTAAATGTAAAGAAAGATAACTTGTTTCTGGCTATAGACTTTCGATGTTTAGGAATAAAACATGTGTAGAAAGAAAAAAAAGAGATGAAAAGAATATCTGATGAGTTGATGAACCAATCATGATATAACAATAATAGTAATAATTACAAATATGAACATTGGCAGACTTCATATATTAAGATGAACAGAAATAAAATAAAATAGGCATGAAAAGTTTCATAGGTTACACTTTGCTTTCCAGTCAATTAGATGGGTGACGGATGTTGTGTGTATAAATCATTATTAAACACACTGATATTTAATAGGTGACACAATCCACTTTCAGAAAGATAATCATCAAGGAGACTTCTGAGCCAGGTTGTAGTTTCACTGAAACGGAGGTTCACTGGCAGTCTGTTCTACATGGTTGAGTAGCGAGTAACGGAAACATTCTAGCGTAGGCTTGTGTGGGTTCTTGGAATTGCTAGAATAGTTTCTTTATTGCATAGATTTTGGTGTGATATCATAGACTATGAGGGGGTGGAAATCGAAGAGTAGGAAATATCGTTAATAAGCCGGTAGATAAAGACAAGGTTTAATTTGATACGTCTGATCCAGAGAGGTTCTAATTTGAGTTGTTTACATCTTTGGTGATAGTCCTTGTTGTCGGAATATCCCAAAACAGCTTTGGCGAACCTTCTTTGAACACCTTCAATTTTAATCTGGTCATTATGCCTGCAAATACTGAAAACTAAAATACCATATTCAAGAATGGGTAAGATACATTTTCTGTATAATAATAACCTCGATTCGATATTATTGAAGTTTATCATTATGAATCAAATAAGCTTTCTAGCTTTGGATACTTGAGATGCAATGTACTCAGAAAAGTTCAAACTGTTGCTGTATCTTAAACCCAAGTCACGAACAGTGTTAAGAGGTCTCAGTGCATGTTTATGTACAGTCAGATTTAAGTTAAGGCAGCGGCCAATATGAATAAATCCACTTTTGTCAACATTAAGTGACGAATTACACGGAACAGTCCATTCGTACAACTTGTTTATTTCTTCTTGGATTGGGCTGAAATGTAGCTTTCTGTGGTAGGAGCAGAGAATAAATAAACTACTTTTAGGTAATCGGCAAAAAGGAAATGTTTACCATACTGAAAGATGGAACACATGTCATTGGCAAGAGGGAGAAAGATTAATGGACCAATCACACTTCCTTGTATAACCCCACTGGTTACATTCATAGGCCTAGAGTAACAAGGTCCAAAGTGAACGATTTGGCTACGTTCTTCTAAAAAAGATTTAGGCCAAGATAAAAGGGGATTCTGTATGCCAAATGAAGAGAGTTTTGGAAGAAGTTTGTGTGAGACACTGTCGAAAGCCTTACTAAAATCGAAGTAAAGAATTATCGCTGACTGACCAACATCTTTTCTCTGGGTAATTTGATCAAAAAATTCCAGGTGCGACGTGAAACATGAGTGTTTAGTCATAAACCCGTGCTGGGGTGGACTTATCAGACTAGCCGAGAGTAAAAATGATAGTAGCTGTTTGAGATGATTTCTTCGATGGTTACTGAGAGCACGGATGTTAAATTAATTGTTTTAAATCTTTGGGTGATAAGAGATGTTTCCCATACAGATGGATAGGTCCCATATTCCATAGACAGGTTGAAAGTTTCAAACAAAATAATGGAAATTCTCTAATCCTATATTTCACAAATGATGGAGGGATCCCGGCAGGTCCACCATCATAATACTTTTTCAGAGCATCTATGACCACTGGATGTTGGAGGGCACAAAATCAATTATCGATAGGTGTCTGGATATCAGCATTGGAAATGTAATGATAGAGCTTTCAGTTCCAGTTTTGTAGCCTCGCGAGAGATGCTTGTTGAATTGTTCACAAATAATATTAGGGTAGTCAAAAATGCTTCCGTTAGCTATGAAGAATTTATTCGTGCCAAGAGAATTTAACTTCACACGGGATTTAAATAGCCGAAGTATTGATAATTCCAACATCATGGAATGAGTCGATAGTTGTTCCTATATTTAAAAAGGGTTCACGTCGTTCCTGTAACAACTATCTTGGGATAAGTCTACTTCCGATTGCGTCCAAGCTATTGGCTTTCATCATACTCGTAGGATGTTCAAAACTTGAGAAAGATTGACTCGCGAGAAGCAGGCTGGGTTTCGTTCTGGTCGAGGACGTAGTGATCATATCTTCACCCTCCACCAAATGTTAGAACACCGTCATACTTATCAAAGGCCGACAATCGTAGTGTTTCGTGACATCAGGGCTGCTTTCGACTCGCCGAACAAAACTGTTCTCCGGGATTGTCTATTGAAGAAGGGTGTGCCTGAGAAGTTTATTAACATCCAAAAGCCCTATATACAAACATCTCAGGTAGAGTGAGGGCATACAACCACCTTACTCCATTGTTCCATTTGAGCAGTGTGGTTAGGCAGGGTTGTCCAATCTCACCATTCCTCTTCAACTTTGCCATCGATGACATTCTGAAAACAGCGCTGATGGATGTAAGTAATGGTGGTGTGAATCTGTTGCATAGAGAAAGACTTCTCGATCTTGAGTATGCGGATGATATTGTTTTACTGTGCGATGATACGAAAATCATGCAGTCAGCACTTAATCAGTCGTCAATTAGTTTCCGTAGGTATGGCATGTGCTTTGTACTTTCGAAGTGCAAAGTGCTTTTACAAGACTGGCAGGACCCTGCACTCACTTTGAGTAGTGAGTAGATAGAATTACTGGAGAAGTCCGTAGGATTGTTGACATCCAGTGGCAACACCATGTTAGTAATGCAGAGGTTCGGCATCGTATGTTCAGGTAGAGCGACGATAATTCAATTAGTGTCACCATGTTGAAACACCGAGCTCTGTGGCTTGGACATGTTCTACGAATGTCGCCGGGAGAATTCCACGTCGTGCATTATTTGCCGACTCTGGGACTGGTTGGAAAAAGCGGAGAGGTGGTCAGTGTATGACATGGTGTCGTGATGTGAAAGAAAGCTGTGCAAGACTGGCCTCTGTTGCTACTTCAGGACTCCCTGGTTGTGGTCCTAGAGATGGTGCAACACCGGCTAGAGACGTTACCGGATCTTGCTCAGAATAGTAGCCAGTGGATATTCTGCTGTAACCTTTTGCTTTCTTTAGAAAAAGTGGTTGTATCTTCCTTAACTGAAAGAATTCTTTTGGTTGTATCTTTCTTCTTCCCCCATTATTATTATAATTAATATTACACTACCATACACTATTCTGTGGTCGTTGTTGTTCGCCTTTTTTTTCCTATACGCACCCTACATTTTTTCTCTTCTCATTCTCATTGTTTTGTGTGGTGCTCATATATTTGGTGCCCCCTTTTACCAATATTTGGGTTCAAATAAATAAAGAAATAAATCTCAAGGTGTTACACGCTAAATGTAAATCTCAGTATTCTTAGGTCCAGCTTAAAAATCCTGTGGTTTGGAGCAAATATCACCATAAGAGCTTTGCCATTCACACCACTGTACTACCTGTCCTGTTATCATGATGAGTTTCTAACTCCTCAACCGGTGACACACGAGTGTTTTGATCTTAAATCTAACTATTTATACGATTATGTGCTCCTGGTCTTTTAGACAGAAGAGTAGAATTTACCTGATGGATTAACTGATTCGTTAGGAAAACATGAACTCCGTTATCTGTAACATCATAATCGGAGATCCCAAATGAAATTAAGTCAGAAGTTGGGAATGCGGGAGTTCGGAGACATATCTTCAAAGCTATCGACATGTCGAAAAGTATGGAGCGGATGTTTAACCGAGCGCCTTCAGCTAGGGCATGTTTAGTTAAACTAATCAGGTCAGTGTCAAAGTTGAATACTTACACGACAGTTTATTTAGGGGATTTGTTTGCCTTTACATACTGTTCTTGCTTATGGGCCGTAACTTAAATAATTTAAACCACCGTTCAAAGGCAACACCACGCATAATCAACAAACAAATTGGATCTGTCGTCGTATATACAAATAAAATATAAACAAGTTTATTAAAAGTTTCGTCATGTGAAAAATACGTAGCCTCTACTTGGAGCATTACAGTTTATTGTTTAGAACCAGAACGTTTAGGCACTTCCAAATATAGCGATGCCAGAACAAAAAGAAATGACTGGCTCTAGCTAGTTCACTACAAGGAGGAGTGATTTCGACATGGAATCGTCGTCATGATTGGTTTGTAAGCTAAATACCAGAAATTCACTAAAGTTTTCATTACCTAAATGTTGAATATTAGTAGGGTTGTACAGAGTACATATGAGTCCTTTTCAAGCTAGTTTTTGTAAGCCGAAAATTTTACTTGCAGAACTGATGGTGATGTTGCCAGCAGCTGACGCCTTCAAAAGAAAGGTAAAACGTTAACATATGATTCAGTAGTGTCATAGACCTTTTAATACACTATGTCCCTGAATGATAAGCGTAGGGATTCGTATACCATTCTACATAAGAATTACCTTAAACGTCTTTAAAATCAGTCTCAAGTGACTTTTTTTATCTTTGACTTAACAACATTATAAGTCACTAAACCAGTGAAGTTTGAACATAGGTCTTTGCGTACGTCAGCTTAGCGCCAGTACAACGTCACTATGCAAATAATGTGGTTGCATTTATTGGTGCTATTGTTTTCACCTTTTGTGGTTAGTCACGAAGATAAATCAAAAAATCTGCTGGTGCTTCTGGAGAATTTTTATATTAAGGAGACTCATTCCACTTTTTTAAATATGTTGACAAGTAAGTTCAAATAAAGTTATAATATGAATTAGACAGGGGTTATAACTTGACCACAAAACTTGCTGATGAACCATCTATTTCACTAAAATACCTTGGAGAATATTTATATTCGGGCCTAATTATTCTAGCCCCATCTGTTAGCGGTGCGTCCAGTTTTTCGCTAATTTAGAATACTAGAGTTTGCGGGTGCATTAAACGTTAAGGAAATAACCAATTTCGTTGACGATGGGGGGAACCTCGTTGTAGTTGCCGGCCCAAATGTGGGTGAATCTATTCGGGAGTTGGGGAGTGAATGCGGGGTGGAGTTTGACGAAGAAAACACTCTTGTTATCGACCATTTCAATTTCGACAAAAAGGATGATGGTTTAGTAGGTTTTCATAATATCTTAATGTCAGTAGCACTCTTTAGTCATTGTGCCTGTTAATAATCTGGTCAAAAGCAATGTGATAACTGGAGGGAAAGTCGACGCACCTTTGTTATACCGTGGGATAGGGTAACTTGATGTATATATTTTAACTGTGATAGTATTTCAGCTGATCAAACTAACCCTTTGCTCATTGATGTCTTACACGGATCGAAGACTTCTTACAGCTATAACCCAGACAAAACCATAGTAGATTATCCAAACACTGTCGGCACAAACACTCAGCTGATCACAGCATTACAGGCAAGAAATAACGCTCGTGCCTTGTTCATTGGTTCGTTGGATTTCTTATCGAATTCGTTTTTTGAAGCTACTGTTGAGACTGAGTCTCATAAGTAAGTTGGAGAAAAGCTTATATGCTCGGTGAATATTAATGTCACAATTATCGTATTAGCTTTGGCCACTCAGATTTTAAGATGATTCGTTGAGTACGGATAAAACACGATGTTCCTTAAGCGGCCTAAGCTATGAACTTAAATGACTACGTCACTGACTAGGATTCCCTAAAACTAATTTTTCCGAATTCAATGAAGACTGTGTTTGCTTTTGTCTTGGTTAGTGATACCAGAAATAGTTAACCTTGTTTTTTTTAAGTGTGCAAGTTTTCTTAGAGTATATTGAGGTTCTCTTAGCTACCAATCGCTTATGTTCGGCAGAACTAAAATACATTGTTTTCAACACACTCAACCACACTTATAAAGTTAAATAGTAGTCGGAGCCAATGCTAAAACAGCACTTGGGGGATGTGTAAAAATGAATTCTAAACACTCATCGCCATCCGTAGAATTGAAAATGCTTTATTCATTGTTGAAATTATTAATTAACATGACTGCGTCAGTTACAGATTCTCTAGATGACTAGTTTCCCACCCTGGTGTTTTCTTCTAGAGTCATGGCTGAACTGGGCGACGTTTATGAATTAAGGTATCTGTTACTGTTATGGAATATTTTTTAAAGTGTCAATATGTTGAAAAGAGTCCTTGTCTATAGCTGATACCATGTGGCTGACTGACGGCTCCTCAGAAGACATTATTATCAGCGCAAACCCTCTAGTTAATATCATAAGAGAAATTAATTAACCAGCTAAACAGAGTTTACTTTATCTGAATAACATTCTTGTACACAAGATATCAGGCACAAAGTAGGAATGATCAATTTCGTTCCAAATGGCTGAAGGATATCAGTCTTTTAGAGCATTCACTGACCAGTGAATTAAAACCTGATGATTTAGTCCAGTCGTTGCCAGACGTTGATCACAGATATAATTCAACATGGCTACTTTAGATGATACTTCAAGTTTTGTCCGATCATGAGTGTTTTGGTAGAGACGTTTTAGTAATGTGATGTACTTTCTACGTCTTTATGTGACATTACTCCTGAGACATTTTGATCAACATTTCAATAATTAACACATCTAGATGTCGGTGAATATGCATGTATTCCAGATCCTGGCATAAATTATGCGCTACTATGTTTTGATCCATAATCTTGTACAGTAGAAAACTCTCATCCTGAAATATTGCCGTGAATGTGTTACAATACCTTTTAAATGTCGAAATTCAAGTATTTTATATCAGTTATATGTTTTATTTTCTTGGTGAATATGTTTTGTACATTAGCCTGTATCCAATCTTGTGTTAGTCCGATTTGTTTTGAGATAACTATTTCTCATACTTGATCTTATTTCATTTTAAATGTCTGTTATCGTACAGGAGTGTGGTTTGTGGCAACCAAATGCTTACTGATAATCTGTTGCGATGGGTTTTGGGTGAGCGTGGTCAGCTGCGACATGTTTACGTAAAACACCATCGAGTGGGTGAAACTCTTCCACCTAGCCAGTATACAATTTTGGATGACGTTATTTACATAATCAAAATAGAAACAAAAGACGATAACGGGAATTGGGTTCCTTTCAATGCCGACGATGTCCAGTTGGAGTTTGTGCGAATCGATCCATTTATCAGAAAAAAAATGGAACACAAAAGTATGGTAGTCAGCTTATTATTTTGTTTAGATATCTGTAAATCCACTTTTGACATTAATTTTCTACCAGAAGCAAAATATAAAAACATAGGTTCGTAATGATTCTTACATCAAATATCAAGCTCACTTTATGGAATAATTCGCAACATATTGTCGACTCTTGTCCATAAAAACCTTTGCAGTATTATATGTACTTATGTTCTATCCACAAGGTGATACAAGTTATAACGACAAGTAACTATTAAGATTATTATGACCCTTCCATTTGAAGATTTGGAGGTCATAAAGTAAGACTAAAAGGACAAAGATTTTTAAGAGATTTGGCACTAGTTATAATAATAAGCCTAGAATCATTTCAAAGACTAAGTTTTGGGAGTTCACCTCAGTTGTTTGAGTTTGTGTAATAGGTAACCTTATGCCTTTTTATCTCAGAAAAATTATAAACTAGTCATAAGGAGGATTTTAGGGATTACTACGTCAATAGTCAATATTTGGTGTTTTTTGTCAACTGAAGTTCATCGCCATTTCTAAGTAAAAATAGTGTAAATTTTTTCGTTTTAGTAAAAAGTGTATTATGATCGTTAGTTTAGTCATCTTTTCTAAATTCTTGTTTTGCCTGCTGTGAACATTTTCGTCAGCTTTTACAATGAGATTTAGAAGTACAAAATAGTTCAAAAAGCAAACTAAGTAAATTTGTAGAATGAAGCTTTAACCTGTTAGATACAGTACAAACTTATTAGTTAATCTAGTCCAATTATCCAAAGATTTTATCGAAATATACGTCCCTAAAGTGTTAAACGCGATCCAACGTCATCGTAAACTACTTCAAGTTTACAAAAAGTATTTGGTGAATTACGTTCATCCACAAGGTTAAGACGGCATCACCTTTTGGATCTTCATTTAGTTATCTTTGCAACATGTTCTGCTTGCTCAGTCAGTCTCCAATGAAGCACACACGTAAGGTGTAGATTGTGTATGGTGTTTATTGTACGTCCAGTATTTTAATTAATTCCTTTCCAAGTGCTTATTGCTTTAAGTCTAACCTCCCCAATTTTAATTTACTGCTTTCGCTGCATGCATTTAAATGTTGTTTCTCATTAGTGATTTCCATTCTTTATAATCGTACAACAAAATCCTGGGATTTCACTTCGTGAGCTTAGTTTGTGTAAAGTGGTCGGTAACTAAACTTGTCTTGGCATTCTCATCAGTCCTGATAGATCAGTAACTGGTATCAGCATAGATACGAAAAATCCGTCCGGTTCTTACCGATTGGTGACACCTGTGTTATAGACAAAATGTTAGTCTACCTAATGGTGAGGTATATTACTCCGGAGTTCGCCCTGTAGTACCTAATGGTTTTAAAACGTGGCACACGGAGGTAAAAAAGATTGGGTGGTGGCTGGTATTCGATCACGATTTCCTTCAAGCATTGCTTGCTTATGGTATGCGTAGTGTTGAGTTTAAATGTATAGCTTGAGATAAATATGGCAAATCGGTTAATTGGGTTGTGAATCTTCATTAATTAAGGTAATCGGGTTATATGCCCCATCTATTACCTATCCCGACACAGTACTGGCTGCCATTGAACCAGGTTAAACAAATGCTAGAGGTTGGATCATAAAATCATGGTATGTGTCTACAAATTTTCTGTTGATTTGACGTATATGAAAGAATGCAGAGTCACAATTCACCCCAACGTCCCAAATCTATTCACTACTCATCTTCTAACTCCTAGGTTTTGATGTTTTATAATTTGAATCCTTTATTTCACTCCTTACAATCGAATTCCTTGGATTTGGTTTCTTACTACCATCGGTGTTACTTTTATTTTTATTTCTATGGTATTCATCTTGGTAGTTTTCTTCTAGTTGTGACGATATGACATAGATGTGGCCTACAAGTGTTATATAACTCTTACAACTAGTTTGTACTTCCACGAATTGACGTAGTTGCTTTTTTTATTTTATTTAACCAGCATTATATTTCTAATCTGAATTTTCCAATCGTCACATTTTTGTAGATGGTGAATACAAACTTGTTATGAAACTACCTGATGTGTACGGAGTTTTCAAATTCGTAGTTGATTATTATCGTGTTGGCTATACACACCTACTAAGTGTTACACAAGTAAGTTCTTGGTTTTCTAGTTTTTGCTCTATCCACCCTCCCAAATATTCTGATCTGAAACCTAAATAATGTATTGTTTATCTTCATACAGGTTCCTGTTCGTCCATTTACTCATACACAATATGAACGATTCCTCGTGGCTGCTTATCCTTATTATGGTAGTGCTATATCAATGATGATTGGCCTAATATTATTTAGTTTTGTATTTTTGTATTTAAAAGATGATAAGGAAAAAGGTGAATAATAGAGAACTCGACAACAACGCTTTGTGTGATGTACATGTGTGTATTTTCAACACTTCTTTTTTTTGAAAACAATTTCATATCTGTATTGTATGAAAATAAAATTTAATTTTACTATTTGTAGATTAGGTATTTATTTCTGACCTAGTTTACAGTGACTCTTTATTCTTTTGTTAATCATTTTCCAGTTTGTAGTATATGTTCTTTTGAATTAAAGCTTCGTTCTTATTATTTGGAACTAGATTACATGTCTCATTTAATTCTGTATGGTTAAAGCATGCACTTTATGTTTTCAACACATACTCTATTTTGAGTGAAGAAAGTATCTGTTGACAAATGAATTTAGTTAAGGGTGATAGTTTTCCCGTTACTTTTATGTGGAAACACAAAAATCACTGGTATTTCTCTTATATTTAAAATATTTTAAGGGAATAATTCTCAAACTGTTGCGTTTTGGGGTCGCTTACTCATTATATGCGTTTATTGGTGGTTTGAGCAGTTCGGAGAACTTGATGAATCAACTTCGAAAATAACCAACGTCTGTTAGTGTTGCAGAGGTTCTGTCCTTACTCAATTTCGAAATCCCAAACGTTATTTTTTTACACAAACATTTTAAGGGGTACAAGTAAACTATCACATCGAACCAAATAGATTAGAGGTGACGTGCCTTGGGCTTTTGCGCGAAGTCTCGTATTATGAGTTATGCAAGAATTGCATATAAATTACTACTGTTTGGTTACTAAAATGCTGAGAATTGGTAATTATGGCAAGACTAATGAGTAAGAACGAATGTGAGCGATCGGTCTTTTTTATGGAAATGTAATGGATGATAAATAGGATTGAAATGCACTCGAAATTTCGAGATCTATGGATTTCCCAAAAAGTTCTCGAGATTTGAGCCCAGTGCAGTTCTATTCAGTGGTAATAAGCACCAGCTTACCATTGCGAGTTTGGACACTAATTTCACAGTTTGCCAAAGTAAAAATCCCAGACCATTTATGTTTCTCCAAGTCAGCTTATTGTGTGACCCGACCGTTGTTGCTACCTTGACGTGGTGGTCGGGCTTGCCTATCGTGATGAAGCAACCGAGCTATACTGGCTGGAACAACCGTTCCTCAAGGTCCTACCATGTCAGACAGGTCGGTTGAAGAGCGGTAAGACTAAAAGCAACAAACCCAAGGTCCGAAGGCGAAGTCGTACTGCTGACTGTACAGAGGTGTGACAGCAGTAAGGTGTTTCCCTCGGACAACCAGCATAACAGCGATGCTGCCTTCCCACAAGGAGGGGTGGGGTTAGAAAAGGTCGACCCTAAAAATGCGCACCTCACCTTATCTCACGGATTTCCGTCTCCGGCGGTAAGGCCCTTTGAAGAACGGAGCTAACACGTCAAAAACCTTCCATAAAAAGGTCGTGTGTGACCGGCCTCAAGCAGTTGTCCCTTGGGCACTGCGGTCACGCTCTCAGGTCACTGAGACCGCCTCTAATCCAATTTCCTTTTCAGGTACCTCCAGAAGAACCATCCCACGGTGTGGGCAACCGGGAAGTGATAACCGCCCTCATACCTCTGACAGCACCCAAGACCATTGTATTCATAATCAACCTTCCTCTTCAATTCCTATTATTCCTCCTACATCGACTTTCAACCCTAAACTTCCTCCTTCGGCTTCCTCCTCAAGTGTCACCATAGCCAACGATTCTAGTGCTCAAAACTCTGTCCCAGGTCTACTGAAACCTCGCTCCAAACTACACATTGGAGCTTTCAACGCACGCACTCTATGTCAAATCGGTCAGCAGGCTTCCTTGGCTAAAACCCTAGAGTCTCTTTCCATTGATGTATGCTGTGTCTCCGAAACACGCATACAGGATTCCAGTGTGGTCATTCACTTGACCTCACCTTGGCGACACGGAGAGCCAACGAGACACACCCTCCGTGTATCTGGTGACCCGATGGCCAGTTCTCGTGTACTGGCAGGTGTAGGCATAGCACTAAGCATGAGGGCGGAACAAGCACTGCTAGAGTGGATCCCCGTCAACAGTCGCTTATGTGCTGTTCGGCTAAACGGCTCCGTAAGAACTCGGAAGGATAGGGACACACGTCGTTGCCTTTTTGTCGTTTCTGCCTACGCTCCCACTGACTGCAGCTCAGATGATGTGAAAGATGAATTTTACAGAAAGCTGTCCGAACTTCTTCAGAAAGCTAAACGCTCAGACATAGTACTCGTAGGGGGTGACTTTAATGCTCAGATAGGTAGCTTAAACCAAACAGAAAGGCATTTAGGTGGATATTTTAGCATTCCGGCACAGCGAACAGATAATGGTGACCGTCTGCTGCAACTGTGCTCAGACAATCGCTTATTTTTAGCAAACACAAATTTTAAGCATAAGGAGAGACATCGTCTAACGTGGCGACCGCCTGCACCAAACCAACGATGGACTCAAATAGACCATATTGCCATCAGTCATCGTTGGAGAGGGTCGGTAGAAGATTGTCGCTCATTCTGGAGTACCTGCTTGGACTCCGACCATGCCTTAATACGGGCACGCATCTGCTCGCGCCTCACTGGACGCAAAAAAGCCACAGTAAAAAGACCCATTCGAACCGAACTGAGTAGCGAGGAAACCAAAAGTAGGTTCCAGGAACAACTGAGGTCACGATTAGGTAGTTCTGAAGACGAGGCTGACCCAGATGTTGCTTGGAATGAAATACAAGCAGCTGTGGAAGCAGCAGTGACATCTATTAACGACTTAAACCACAGAGTTTCAAAGAACCAGTGGATTTCTTCAAAGTCTATCACACTGATGGATTCTCGCAAACTCGTCCCATCAGGTTCCGAACATGATGAAGAGCGACAACAAATCAGATCTAGGTTAAGAAAAAGTCTAAGAAACGACCGTGAGCAGTGGTGGGCAACGAAAGCAAAAGAGATGGAAAAGGCGGCGACTATAGGGAACACAAGACAGCTTTACAGACTAATAAAAGAAACTGGAATTAATAAGTCAAGTGTAAGTGAGATTATTTCGGAAAAAGACGATACACTCATCTGCTCCCAGTCCAGGCGTTTAGAACGATGGGCGGAACATTTCAGAGAACAGTTCAGCTGGCCTTCAGCTACTCTACACCTACCCTCCATTCCCAGACAGTGTGAATGGAACATTGAAGTAGGTCCCCCAACTCTTGCTGAAGTTCAAAAGGCTATAGTTAATCTGAAACGAGGAAGGGCAGCTGGTCCAGATGGACTGGCTCCAGAGGTCTTTAAGGATGGTGGTCCAATTTTAGCGATTAGGTTGACTAATATTTTAGCTAAAATCTGGGAGTTAGACGTTATTCCATCTAACTGGTCACAATCACTTATCGTCCCAATATATAAGAAAGGGTCAAAATCATCCTGTGACAACCACAGAGGGATTAGTCTAACTAATATAATATCTAAAATACTAGCCTCGATAATTATCAGACGCCTAACTAAGACTCGTGAACTGCAAACACGAGAGAACCAAGCTGGCTTTAGACCTGGTCGTGGCTGCACCGACCACATATTCACCATTCGTCAGATTCTAGAACACAGGCATACTTATCGGCGTCCGACAATGGTGGTCTTTCTCGACTTAAAAGCAGCATTTGACTCGGTAGACCGCGAGATTCTGTGTCAGTGTCTGTCATTGAAAGGCGTACCACAGAAGTACATAAACCTTGTGAAGGCTCTTTACTCGAACACTACTATTCGAGTCAGAGCTTATGGCGAACTGTTATCTGCTTCTGCAACCTCAAGTGGTGTCCGTCAAGGCTGTCCACTTTCTCCATTTTTGTTTAACTTCATCATAGACCTATTGATGGAAATAACACTCTCGTCGACTGAATTCTCGGGTATTGATCTCCTACCAGGAGGTCCACTTATCGACTTAGAATACGCAGATGACATAGTCCTGTTTGGTGAAGACGCTGACAAAATGCAGAGTCTTCTGGTAGCACTGAGCAACAATGCCAGAATGTTTGGAATGCGCTTCTCTCCCTCTAAATGCAAGTTGTTGCTTCAGGACTGGTCTGAGTCAACACCTGAACTAAGGATAGGGAGTGGAGTAGTCGAACGCATTGACAACTTCACTTATCTTGGAAGTCTGATCAGCCCTAATGGGTTGGTGTCTGACGAAATCTCAGCATGGATTCGAAAAGCTCGTTCGGCTTTCGCCAACTTGCGCCACCTATGGCGAAGGCGAGATATCCGTCTATCAATAAAAGGACGAGTATACTGCGCGGCAGTCCGTTCTGTTTTACTTTACGGCAGCGAAACATGGCCATTAAGAGTAGAAGACACTCGTAAGCTATTAGTATTTGACCACAGATGCCTTAGAAATATTGCTGGCGTCTGCTGGGATCACCGGGTAAGTAATAGTGAGGTTAGACGTAGGGTATTAGGGAATGATGGTAAATCAGTTGATGAGGTTATGAATCTTCATCGACTGAGATGGTTGGGCCACGTGTTACGTATGCCTGAACACCGATTACCACGTCGTGCAATGCTATCCGGTATTGGAGATGGTTGGTAGAAAGTTGGGGGCGGCCAAACCAAAACATGGCATCAGTGCTTGAAGTCACTAACTTCTAGTCTGAGCCATGTTGGTAGATGCAGACTACTTGGTTGGGGTCCGCGTGACTATCGTAACCAATGGTTGGAGACTCTTGGTGACATGGCTCAGAATCGATCACAGTGGCGTCGGTGTATACACTCCCTGTCTTCCCTTAAACTAATAGATTAAAATCACTTCATATCTTTCTTTCTACGAACCAATTCTTTCTTCTTGTACTAAATCTCTATATGCAATCTTTCTCTTACATTTTACTACCTTTGACCTAACCACTGCTATGAATCTGGTGTTCATCTTGTTGTGCTGATGCGGTATGGCAACCTGGACCGATGCACATATGTGCCTGGTCCTACGTTGTAGCTGACTGACTGACTGCTTATTGTGTGACGAGAATTCGGCTGAGCGCGAGGTTAGCGAAGTCGAAGAGTTTTTTGGTTCGGGGTAGTAAACCTTGCGTTAGGAAGCGTTCCTGAGAAGTGGTTCATATATCAGTGATATTAACCTGCGTCGAGTATTTCAATTCGACTAAAACCCACCGATTTCCAGAAAACTAGTCGCCTATTTCGTCTTAAGACTGCTGGTCGACGTTACGCAACAATGGATTGAATGATAATTTTATCTAAGTTTATATTACACTAAAAATGACGAGTATGGTGACCCAAGTAATCTTTCAAGATGTTTAAGGTGAAGTGTTCCCAGTAATACACTATAAAAATTGACGATGAGTTCATAATCTAATTATTTAAGAGTTGGAACCAAAATGATTTTCTGAAAAGATCAATAGACTTACCCTTAAAATATAGCACTGGATTCTCAATCTTTATATGTGAAATTTTGTCACAGAAAACACGATATTCTAAGTTATTAAAGTAGGGCGTAAAGATGTTTTCGACCCAAGAAAAGTGCTATTGTATTGACAGTGAAGTTTTAGAGACAATATAATTTTTATCAAACGTTTGTGTATTAGTTCCTAGATATTCCCATACTTGGTCACTGAAGGATTGCTGTGTGGCTGGTTGGTGCATTTCCAGTTGTTTACGAATTTTTCGTCATTACTCATCTTATCTTTTACTTAGAACACTTGTTAGTTCTCTTATGACCTTAATTTTGCTCCTTAGTGTCCACTGGTCTTTAAATAATACTTTTGTCTAAGTGAAATCCTGTATGTACACATATCTACAAACAGCCAGTTCTAAGCTTCCAAAATTTCGACTGAAATTTGAGACGTTATTCCGTTAGCACATTTTTCGTTTGACCACCTCAGTTATCTACGATTTTTCCGTCAAATCTATTAAGCTGTTCATAAAACTTCATTATTTAATTACTATGAAGTTAGTACTCATAAACCGTAATTAAAAAGACAAACAAAAAGGGTGAAATAAAGGGGTAAATGCTTTGGTAGCGAAAGGGGAAATAAAGGGGAAAACGCATCAGAATGTCACCTTTCCGCCTGTCCGGGGGAAATAATGCGGATTTTCCCCTTTTTCGCCTTTTTGTCGACAAATTACCGACTTATCGCCTAATTATCCGCCGAATTCTCGCATTTTCGCCTAAATATCCGCCGAATTGCCTACTAGTACACGTAATTGTCTAATTTTCGCCTAAATACACACATTACCTCCTATTTTCTATCCATCGACACAACCACAAAGGTCTCCTATGTTCGCCTTTATTTTCAACAACAGACCAAAATATATCTGCAATGCAGTGGAGAAGCGGTAAATATTTGAAAAATTTTATTTAAAAAGAAAAGCGTATTATTGTACAACAGTAGAGCACAAGCTTGAGCATCGATTGTTATGCATATCCAATGCAATTGCTAATTCATTGTTATTTGAAATTATCTGAAAAAGAAGGAACAGGTTATAATTTATTCATAAGAAATGTGCATTTAATCAAAAGTTCACTGAAACTCAAACACACATTCTCAACACCCCAAGCAACACAAAAAGGGGAAATAAAGGGGAAAAAAGGGGAAATAAAGCGGACGAAAGGGGAAATAAAGGGGAAATGTCGCTTTTTCGCCTTAACGTCGGTTATTTAGTGGAAATGTCGCTTTTTCCCCCTGACGTCGTGTATTTGGGGGACATTTGTCGACAGTTCTACGTAACGTACAGTGTTTGAATTAACCGCATCTGGAACTGAAGTTTTCATAAACTTCGACAAATGTATTCACCGCCAATTAAAAAAACAAAAGTATTTTCATAAAAACAATGTACAAAATACGGAACCAGGCTTTCGGTTGATACGCATATACAGTGACTTCGTTTGTTGTTTAGTTAAAGTGTTCCGACATGCTTTGGAGCCATCACAAAAAACTTACGTGATGCAGGTGAGTGACGTGCTCTCAGGACTTTAGGTTCATTGTGACTGATTACCTTCTTAGGCCAATAATATGACTTTTTCTGATATCAGTGAGAATGTTCGTAGACGTAGGGCAACTGTGAACTTGTCACGTTCCCTTGGTTGTCACAGAACCACTTATAATCGGAGGTGGAATAAAATGAGAGCTGCTTTCATGAAAAAATATCACTTTCCTTCGGTCAGTGAGTTTGCGAATGAAAGCACCGTAAAAGGTAACTGAGTTTAACAATGTTGTTTACTTAATTGATATAAGTAAAGAGAGAAGTCAGTTGTAATGAAAGTACTTCGATTAGTACACCGTCCACTAGCAACTTCAATCAAAGGCTTCCAGCTAATAGTGGTATGAACATTAAATTCGTACGTGAATATATTTCTTATAGGATGTACTGAAGTGAACTTGTGCTCAACGAATTTCGTGAATCGCAAAGAACAGATGAACGACTTTATGATGTATCTAATGTCAAATACATCACTGAGCATAAAAGATGCTGATCGGGTTCTGTATGGTCTAAGATTTCTTATCCCGGACATACCGAAAAGTATCAGAGGCGTTTTGAAGACATGTCCAAGTGTTCAACGCAAGTTCATCGGCAGTGGGGTTTACTACCATCTAGGATTGAAAACCAATCTGCTAAGATACGTTGAGCTTTGGTTGTGTACTATTGATTTTGACTCTTTAAAGTTGTATGTCAATATAGATGGACTTTCTATGTCTAGAAGCTCCAATCAACAGTTATGGCCTATACTTGGACGGATCATTGCCCCTCGGCTTAGTGACGTGTTCATGATAGGGATCTACGGAGGGAATAGTAAGCCGGCAGAATTCAACGAATTTTCTGCAGACACAATTTCTGAAATAAAAGAAATGACTGACGTGGGTCTTTTTAGTGTTAAGTTTAATAAATGTATAGCTATTACGTTGGCGGCTGTTATATGTGACGCACCTGCTCGTTCTTCTGTTAGGTACACGGTGAATCATAACGGTAAGGCAGGTTGCGATAGGTGTACTGTTCCTGGGAGACGACTGGAGGGTAAGATGACCTTTCCAAATGGGGTATATACTGTAAGAACAGACGACACCTTCCGTCGTCAGACTCAGCCAACTCACCATCAAGGACATTCTATAATGGAAACGCTTTCTATTAATATGATTGTAACTTTTCCTCTAGATCCTATGCACATGGTGTACCTTGGTGTTACCAAAAAACTAGCTAATTTATGGATAAATTTAGCACACCGAAGACTGCGGAACTTTAACTCATGTGCAATTCGGGACATAAATAATTTAATATCTCGTTGTGTGGCAAGTACTCCTTCTGACTTTCCCCGTAAATGCCGCACACTAGACTTTGTATCGGCATGGAAAGCTTCTGAATGTAGATTGTTCCTTCTGTATATAGGCCCGGTGATTCTTGAAAAAACATTGCCACAACCTTTTTATCTTAATTTTCGGCGTTTAGCGTTATCCATGTATCTGCTTGCACATCCACAATTACATAAAAGTTTTGTAGAAACCGCCAAAATAGATTTAGTAAACTTCCTGAATGAATACGAATGGTGTTATGGGTGTGAAAACTTAGTCTACAATGTGCATTCGTTACAGCACCTCCCTGACGACGTTCGTGCACATGGACCTTTAGATAGTTTTTCAGCCTTTCCATTCCAGTCTTATATGAGAAAAATTAAGGATTCCGTGCGTAGTGGGTTTGCAGTAGCTAAGCAAGCAGCACAGCGTTATGCTGAGAGAATGTCCTTCAGCGATAGGCTTCAAATTAGTGGTTTAACAAATACTACCGCAATAGGCCATAAAGATGTCTCCAGTAAACAAGTAATTATGTGTAACAACAGTAAAATAACTTCATGCCAGCCTGATAATGTAGTAGTAGTTAACGGCCAGCCAGGTTTAGTCACTGATATAAAGGAGGATGGACTACTAAAATTTAGGACTTTCACTGACCCACGCAATTACTTTGAAGATCCTTTCCCATCTAGTGATATTGGAATCTTTATGTGCTCCGTAGTTAGCCACGAATACTCCTGGGTATCGGTTCAGGACATTGATTGTAAATGTATAGCCATAAATTGTATCAATTATATAGTTGTAATCCCATTGTTGCATACTTTATTGTAAATAAATTTTGTTTCATTAGTGTTTAAGTAATGATGATAAATCATTTACTTACGTCTTTTTTTCTTTTTAGCCAACTAACAAGAAATACGTTATTGTTGACGTCCTACAGGAAAAACAACTTATGATAGCATCAAAGAACTGGATAGTTGGCAATGACCTTTGCGTTCTTCCGAACGAGCTGGTCGATATACACCTGCAGAAGTGCGACCAACCGAATGAAAATTGGTCGCTCATGAAATGTAAAGTGATTCACGAATTAGGTAGGCTACAGACACAGAAAGTATAATTCACTATAGATTCTCTGCAGTCAGCAAAAGACCTGTTAGCTGCCCTACAGGTACTGGAATGTCGAAGGAAAAACACCTCTACGGATGAAAACACTTTGCCACTGAACACTGAGAAGCCAAAGAGGTCTGTACAATAATCTTACTTACATTTCCTAGAGGTTTAATGAAGCGTAAAGAAGATTTTCTTTACAATTCAGTTGACATGGATGTGGCTGAAATGCAGGCTGGGAATAGCCGCGTACAATATCCAAAATTCCGTGTTTTCAACAAAGTGATATCGCCAATCGCCAAGTACGTTTAATTACTATTTAGATATTCACTATTTAGTTCAACACAATTAGAGATATCACCATCCACATCGCAATGTAAGCCTGTTGGTGGCACTGTATTGGACCAGTAAGTTACCTACATCATCTAGTTACCTTTTTTACCTGTGATAGATTGTATACGGTGGTGCTGAAGATGTCGTCAGCTATCACTGACTTGACTCAAACGATTAACAACATGTCGTCCGCCATTACGAACTTGAATGTTAATGTTAACCAATTGCTTTCAAAGTCTAATGAGCGCGAAAGACCGCATGAATTCGATTGCGGACTGTCAAGTCAGGAGTTCCCTTTGTCATCTGAAGAGGAACTACAGATGCTAGACACTGGTTTGTCGCAGAAAGAAACCAGGGACAGATTTGTAAGTCATTAACATGAATTGAATAATTTGTTACTATTACAGATGGCAATGGTCACTAGGTTATCAGGTGACGATCCAAAAACGTCCATGCGTTTTATTCTGTCGCATCTGCTGACACCGGAGGTTGCCAGTAAATTCACGTTACTTGGCACCTCTTCTAAACGAGCACTACATAAATGCACGTTTTACAGCTGCATACGAAGTAACGTATATCTATTACTTAAACTTCAGGTGCCTTAACTCATCGTTTTTTGTCATCCTCTGTAAATGAGAAAGACCTTGGTAAGCTATACGACATAGCGACACAAGGTTACTTTCACGACCTCCGAGACAAGATGATAAAACGAAATAGAAGAAAAGAAAATCAGGTAGGTACTAATTTAAAGTGATAACCTCCCTACGGCTCTATAGTTACAGTCAACAATACTGACGAACATAACCGTAAGTTCAGCTTCAAGTATTTGGTTGTGCAAAAGCATGTCATTGAGATATGGTTGTGACTATTTTTTTGTTTTTTTTTAAAATTCAGAATTCACAGGACGACTACCCCAATTGTGATTAGTCCGTGCAATTGCTTTGATGTTGTACCTCCATTTCAATAAACATTATTCTTTCAAACAGCTTACTGTTTTACCTACATGGGAAACTGTTGAAGTGTTGAGAATGGGTGTTTGAGTTTAAGTGAACTATTGATTAAATGCACATTTCTTATGAATACATTATAACCTGTTCGTTTTTTTTCAGATAATTTCAAATAACAATGTATTACCAATTGCATTGGATATGCATAACAATCGATGCTTCTGCTTGTGCTCTTCTGTTGTACAATAATACGCTTTTATTTTTCAATAAAATTTTTGAAATATTTACCGCTTTTCCACTGCATTGCAGATATATTTTGGTCTGTTGTTGAAAATGAAGGCGAACATAGGAGACCTTTGGGGTTCTGTTGATGGATAGAAAATAGTAGGTAACGTGTGTATTTAGGCGAAAAGTAGACAATTAAGCGCATAAGTAGGCAATTCGGCGGATATTTAGGTGAAAATGCGACAATTCAGCGGAAATTTAGGCGAAAATGCGACAAGTCAGCGGAAATTTAGGCGAAAATGCGACAATTCAGCGGATATTTAGGCGAAAATGCGACAATTCAGCGGATATTTAGGCGAAAATGCGACAATTCAGCGGATATTTAGGCGAAAATGCGACAATTCAGCGGATATTTAGGCGAAAATGCGACAATTTAGCGGATATTTAGGCGATAAGTCCGTAATTTGTCGACAAAAAGGCGAAAAAGGGGAAAATCCGCATTATTTCCCCCGGACAGGCGAAAAAGGCGACATTCTGATGCGTTTTCCCCTATATTTCCCCTTTTGCTACCATAGCATTTACCCCTTTATTTCCCCTTTTTCCCCCTTTATTTCCCCTTTTTGTGTTGTTTGGGACTTCAACAGTTTCCCATGTAAGTAATAAAGTAAGCTGTTTGAAAGAATAATGTTTATTGAAATGTAGGTAGAACATCGAAACAATTGCACGGACTATTCCCTTAAGCCACGTTCGTTCGGCTATTGAGAATTGAGGTAGTCGTCGTGTGAATTATGAATTTAGAAAAAAGAAAAATGTCACAACCATATCTCAAAGACATTCTTTGGCCCAGCCAAATACTTGAAGCTGAACTTACGCTTACCCAAGCAACACAAAAAGGGGGAATAAAGGCGAAGAAAGGGGAAATAAAGGGGTAAATGCTTTGGTAGCGAAAGGGGAAATAAAGGGGAAAACGCATCAGAATGTCGCCTTTTCGCCTGTCCGGGGGAAATAATGCGGATTTTCCCCTTTTTCGCCTTTTGTCGACAAATTACCGACTCATCGCCTAATTATCCGCCGAATTCTCGCATTTTCGCCTAAATATCCGCCGAATTGCCTACTTATGCGCTTAATTGTCTACTTTTCGCCTAAATACACACATTACCTCCTATTTTCTATCCATCGACACAACCACAAAGGTCTCCTATGTTCGCCTTTATTTTCAACAACAGACCAAAATATATCTGCAATGCAGTGGAGAAGCGGTAAATATTTGAAAAATTTTATTTAAAAAGAAAAGCGTATTATTGTACAACAGTAGAGCACAAGCTTGAGCATCGATTGTTATGCATATCCAATGCAATTGCTAATTCATTGTTATTTGAAATTATCTGAAAAAGAAGGAACAGGTTATAATTTATTCATAAGAAATGTGCATTTAATCAAAAGTTCACTGAAACTCAAACACACATTCTCAACACTTCAACAGTTTCCCATGTAAGTAATAAAGTAAGCTGTTTGAAAGAATAATGTTTATTGAAATGTAGGTAGAACATCGAAACAATTGCACGGACTATTCACAATTGAGGTAGTCGTCGTGTGAATTATGAATTTAGAAAAACGATAAAAGTCACAACCATATCTCAAAGACATTGTTTGGCCCAGCCAAATACTTGAAGCTGAACTTACGCTTACCCAAGCAACACAAAAAGGGGGAATAAAGGCGAAGAAAGGGGAAATAAAGGGGTAAATGCTTTGGTAGCGAAAGGGGAAATAAAGGGGAAAACGCATCAGAATGTCGCCTTTTCGCCTGTCCGGGGGAAATAATGCGGATTTTCCCCTTTTTCGCCTTTTTGTCGACAAATTACCGACTCATCGCCTAATTATCCGCCGAATTCTCGCATTTTCGCCTAAGTATCCGCCGAATTGCCTACTTTTCGCCTAAATACACACATTACCTCCTATTTTCTATCCATCGACACAACCACAAAGGTCTCCTATGTTCGCCTTTATTTTCAACAACAGACCAAAATATATCTGCAATGCAGTGGAGAAGCGGTAAATATTTTAAAAATTTTATTTAAAAAGAAAAGCGTATTATTGTACAACAGTAGAGCACAAGCTTGAGCATCGATTGTTATGCATATCCAATGCAATTGCTAATTCATTGTTATTTGAAATTATCTGAAAAAGAAGGAACAGGTTATAATTTATTCATAAGAAATGTGCATTTAATCAAAAGTTCACTGAAACTCAAACACACATTCTCAACACTTCAACAGTTTCCCATGTAAGTAATAAAGTAAGCTGTTTGAAAGAATAATGTTTATTGAAATGTAGGTAGAACATCGAAACAATTGCACGGACTATTCACAATTGAGGTAGTCGTCGTGTGAATTATGAATTTAGAAAAACGATAAAAGTCACAACCATATCTCAAAGACATTCTTTGGCCCAGCCAAATACTTGAAGCTGAACTTACGCTTACCCAAGCAACACAAAAAGGGGGAATAAAGGCGAAGAAAGGGGAAATAAAGGGGTAAATGCTTTGGTAGCGAAAGGGGAAATAAAGGGGAAAACGCATCAGAATGTCGCCTTTTCGCCTGTCCGGGGGAAATAATGCGGATTTTCCCCTTTTTCGCCTTTTGTCGACAAATTACCGACTTATCGCCTAATTATCCGCCGAATTCTCGCATTTTCGCCTAAATATCCGCCGAATTGCCTACTTATGCGCTTAATTGTCTACTTTTCGCCTAAATACACACATTACCTCCTATTTTCTATCCATCGACACAACCACAAAGGTCTCCTATGTTCGCCTTTATTTTCAACAACAGACCAAAATATATCTGCAATGCAGTGGAGAAGCGGTAAATATTTGAAAAATTTTATTTAAAAAGAAAAGCGTATTATTGTACAACAGTAGAGCACAAGCTTGAGCATCGATTGTTATGCATATCCAATGCAATTGCTAATTCATTGTTATTTGAAATTATCTGAAAAAGAAGGAACAGGTTATAATTTATTCATAAGAAATGTGCATTTAATCAAAAGTTCACTGAAACTCAAACACACATTCTCAACACTTCAACAGTTTCCCATGTAAGTAATAAAGTAAGCTGTTTGAAAGAATAATGTTTATTGAAATGTAGGTAGAACATCGAAACAATTGCACGGACTATTCACAATTGAGGTAGTCGTCGTGTGAATTATGAATTTAGAAAAACGATAAAAGTCACAACCATATCTCAAAGACATTCTTTGGCCCAGCCAAATACTTGAAGCTGAACTTACGCTTACCCAAGCAACACAAAAAGGGGGAATAAAGGCGAAGAAAGGGGAAATAAAGGGGTAAATGCTTTGGTAGCGAAAGGGGAAATAAAGGGGAAAACGCATCAGAATGTCGCCTTTTCGCCTGTCCGGGGGAAATAATGCGGATTTTCCCCTTTTTCGCCTTTTTGTCGACAAATTACCGACTTATCGCCTAATTATCCGCCGAATTCTCGCATTTTCGCCTAAGTATCCGCGTAATTGTCTACTTTTCGCCTAAATACACACATTACCTCCTTTTTTCTATCCATCGACACAACCACAAAGGTCTCCTATGTTCGCCTTTATTTTCAACAACAGACCAAAATATATCTGCAATGCAGTGGAGAAGCGGTAAATATTTGAAAAATTTTATTTAAAAAGAAAAGCGTATTATTGTACAACAGTAGAGCACAAGCTTGAGCATCGATTGTTATGCATATCCAATGCAATTGCTAATTCATTGTTATTTGAAATTATCTGAAAAAGAAGGAACAGGTTATAATTTATTCATAAGAAATGTGCATTTAATCAAAAGTTCACTGAAACTCAAACACACATTCTCAACACTTCAACAGTTTCCCATGTAAGTAATAAAGTAAGCTGTTTGAAAGAATAATGTTTATTGAAATGTAGGTAGAACATCGAAACAATTGCACGGACTATTCCCTTAAGCCACGTTCGTTCGGCTATTGAGAATTGAGGTAGTCGTCGTGTGAATTATGAATTTAGAAAAACGATAAAAGTCACAACCATATCTCAAAGACATTCTTTGGCCCAGCCAAATACTTGAAGCTGAACTTACGCTTACCCAAGCAACACAAAAAGGGGGAATAAAGGCGAAGAAAGGGGAAATAAAGGGGTAAATGCTTTGGTAGCGAAAGGGGAAATAAAGGGGAAAACGCATCAGAATGTCGCCTTTTCGCCTGTCCGGGGGAAATAATGCGGA